TAGACGAGAATACAAAACACGGATAAACTACAAAGTGCACCGGGGGGCGGTGTATGTGGTCAACTTATATCATACTAATCTCCACACACCAACACATATCATTCAAATCATCACACACACCACCACCACACAACACACACACCACCACCACACAACACACACACCACCACCACACAACACACACACCACCACCACACAACACACACACCACCACCACACAACACACACACCACCACCACACAACACACACACCACCACCACACAACACACACACCACCACCACACAACACACACACCACCACCACACACACAATGCATCACCACCACACACCACTGCACACCACCACAACCACACACAATACATCACCACCACACACCACCACAACCACACAATACATCACCACCACCACCACACACCACCTCCACCACACACCACCACACAATACACCGCCACCACCACCACACACCACCTCCACCACACAATACACCACCACCACACACCACCTCCACCACACACCACCTCCACCACACACCACCTCCACCACACACCACCACACACCACCACAACCACACAATACACCACCACCACACACCACCTCCACCACACACCACCTCCACCACACACCACCACAACCACACAATACACCACCACCACACACCACCACACACCACCACACACCACCACAACCACACAATACACCACCACACACCACCTCCACCACACACCACCACAACCACACAATACACCACCACACACCACCTCCACCACACACCACCACAACCACACAATACACCACCACCACCACCACCACCACCACCACCACACACCACCACACACCACCACACACCACAACATATAAAACAGATCAACATTTTAGTGTCAATCTAAACCAAACTGACTTTAGATATAAAGCCGGTTACTGTAAATGTAAAGCTGACCCACTTAAAATCTCAACCTAGGTTAGATAGATTAAATAAAATCCATCAGGGCAAATGGGTAGGGACCTTCGACAAGCCGCCGGCTTCCTGTCCTCGTCGAGGCCACTAAGGTTAGTGGCCCCTCAGGTAAAAAAACAAAACAGATAGGGTTTAAAGTTCTCACACAAGCTACTTAAGGCTTTAAACTAACTTGCTTAAAAGGCTAATCAAACTGAAGATATATAATCAGCTCATTTAAAGTTTGACAGCCAGCTCAGGGAAGGTTTCAAGATCCATTTTCAGCTTGCAATTTAAAAACCAGCTTACTTGAGATACAAAATTCAACTCTGTAAACTATCCAATCTATAGAGCAACTCGTGAAACACTTCAAAGGTATGCTCCAGGTATAATATTTAAAGACAGCTTCCGGTAGATTTAAAGCTGGCTCGTGTAAATTAAAAGTAATCTCGATTACTATAGGCCTATAGCGTGTGTGCCGGCCGGCTATAGTACATGTCCTGCTCAGTTACCAATAGGCCTACCCAACCGTATCAGCATCACACAGTCCTGCCTCTAAGCGTTGTTATAAGTCTTTGTAAATGTTTATCTTTGTGTATATGTATAGGCCTATGTGTATGAATGTGTGATCCCGTATTTGTTCCCTTATTCGCTTGCATGTATATTTGCATCACAATATGATGATAATATTGCTACGTATTAAAGCTTAATGTGGGGTCGGGGGAAGGAGGAGGAGTGAAGGCATGCAGAGTGCCTCTGGTGGGCCTCTGGAGTGCTTCTGGAGTGCCTCTGGAGTGCCTCTGGAGTGCTTCTGGAGTGCCTCTGGTGTGCCTCTGGAGTGCCTCTGGAGTGCTTCTGGAGTGCCTCTGGTGTGCCTCTGGAGTGCCTCTGGAGTGCTTCTGGAGTGCCTCTGGTGTGCCTCTGGAGTGCCACTGGACTGCCTCTGGAGTGCCCCTGGAGTGCCCTTGGAGTGCCTCTGGAGTCCAGGTATAATCAGTGCACTAATGAGAAAGACAGAAGGAGAAATGCGAAACAAAATACAATGAGAAGCCAGTTAAGGCTGTTAGTAACTGCCAGTTAAGGCTGTTAGTAACTGCCAGTTAAGGCTGTTAGTAACTGCCAGTTAAGGCTATTAGTAACTGCTAGTTAAGGATGATAGTAACTGCCAGTTAAGGATGTTAGTAACTGCCAGTTAAGGCTATTAGTAACTGCTAGTTAAGGCTATTAGTAACTGCTAGTTAAGGATGATAGTAACTGCCAGTTAAGGCTGTTAGTAACTGCCAGTTAAGTCTGTTAGTAACTGCCAGTTAAGGCTGTTAGTAACTGCCAGTTAAGACTGTTTGTAACTGCCAGTTAAGGCTGTTAGTAACTGCCAGTTAAGGCTGTTAGTAACTGCCAGTTAAGGCTGTTAGTAACTGCCAGTTAAGGCTGTTAGTAACTGCCAGTTAAGGCTGTTAGTAACTGCCAGTTAAGGCTGTTAGTAACTGCCAGTTAAGGCTGTTAGTAACTGCCAGTTAAGGCTGTTAGTAACTGCCAGTTAAGACTGTTTGTAACTGCCAGTTAAGGCTGTTAGTAACTGCCAGTTAAGGCTGTTAGTAACTGCCAGTTAAGGCTGTTAGTAACTGCCAGTTAAGGCTGTAAGTAACTGCCAGTTAAGGCTGTTAGTAACTGCCAGTTAAGGCTGCTAGTAACTGCCAGTTAAGGCTGTTAGTAACTGCCAGCTAAGGCTGTTAGTAACTGCCAGTTAAGGCTGTTAGTAACTGCCAGTTAAGGCTGCTAGTAACTGCCAGTTAAGGCTGTTAGTAACTGCCAGCTAAGGCTGTTAGTAACTGCCAGTTAAAGCTGTTAGTAACTGCCAGTTAAGGCTGCTAGTAACTGCCAGTTAAGGCTGTTAGTAACTGCCAGCTAAGGCTGTTAGTAACTGCCAGTTAAGGCTGTTAGTAACTGCCAGTTAAGGCTGCTAGTAACTGCCAGTTAAGGCTGTTAGTAACTGCCAGCTAAGGCTGTTAGTAACTGCCAGTTAAGGCTGTTAGTAACTGCCAGTTAAGGCTATTAGTAACCACCAGTTTTAACTTCTCCATTGACTCTTTAAATGAATGGCAATAAGGTGATTTTTATTCACCACTTAATAATTTCGCGACCTCATTATTTTTGTTGACGTTACTGCTAAAAAATAATCCCGTCAACACGGTAGAGGCGTACGCAGGAGACGACTGGAACACCAAAAGTCACCATTTGAAAAGTGTTCAAAATGAAGTGGTTTTATGTACCCAGAAGCGTACAGATCATTGCAGTCCACCAAACCAACCGAGACTATTGAGTCAGAGGAAGCGTCAATTTTATGGTGTTTTAATCGTTACTAACGCGCCTCAACTTGATGCAGTGATCGATTGCGTCAAAATCGCGATGCATTAGTTGTGAGGACAGGTAGAGCTCTGACCTTCCTATCTTGGGGTTATCTTGAGATGATTTCGGGGCTTAGTGTCCCCGCGGCCCGGTCCTCGACCAGGCCTCCACCCCCAGGAAGCAGCCCGTAGCAGCTATCTAACTCCCAGGAACCTATTTACTGCTAGGTAACAGGGGCTTCAGGGTGAAAGACACATTTTGCCCATTTGTCTCCGCCCCCACCGGGGACCGAACCCGGAACCTCAGGACTACGAATCCGAAGCGCTGTCCATAGGGGAGCCGGTCGGCCGAGCGGACAGAACGCTGGACTTGTGATCCTGTGGTCCCGGGTTCGATCCCGGTCGCCGGCAAGAAACAATGGGCAGAGTTTCTTTCACCCAATGCCCCTGTTACCTAGCAGTAAAATAGGTACCTGGGTGTTAGTCAGCTGTCACGGGCTGCTTCCTGGGGGTGGAGGCCTGGTCGAGGACCGGGCCGCGGGGACACTAAAGCCCCGAAATCATCTCAAGATAACCTCTCAAGATAACCCAGCTGTCAGGCGACCTAACCTAATCTAACACACCATTACACAGGCAGGCTACAAGACCCAGTGGCGCAGTGGTCTACGCGCTGATCTCACACTCGAATAGTCTCGTCACTTAACGTAGGGCGAAACGTTATGGCAACGTTTTGAGCACTTTCCCCACACACCTGATGCCTCTGTCCACCTGCCCGTAAGTAGGTTCTTACTGGGAGTTAGGCAGCTGTTGTGGGTTGCGTCCCGAGGGCAGGTCAGCAGTAGGTCTAGGGGGGAAGTAGGAGGGGGAAGACGACGATGTACAAAACGGGCTTCCTGTCCCCGACCATAGGAGACACAAGGCACCGCTCCACCTGGTGGCTGAAGCAGCCTACACCTGGACCAGGAGTTCAAATCATGTGGCAGTGACGTCACTGACGAAGGCTACATTTTTCTGACCTATATACGCTATGTTTACTCTTTACGTGCGTTAGGTTAGGATAGGTTATCATTGGTTAGGTTGTGTATGGATAGGTTGTGTATGGATAGGTTGTGTATGGATAGGTTTTGTATGGATAGGTTGTGTATGGATAGGTTGTGTATGGATAGGTTTAGTTTGGATAGCATTGGTTGGGGAAGGATAGGTTGCTCTAGGTTGGGTTTGGCTAGGTTCAGTTACGATGGGTTAGGTTAGCAAGGGTTGAGATGGGAAAGGATAGAGTCGTTCAGGTTAGGTTAGGATGAGTTAGGTTATCATAGACTTGGTTGGGTAAGGATAAGTTGGTTTGGTGAGGTTAGGATGGGTTAGGTTAATATTGGCCGGGTGGAATAAGGATAGGTTGTTTAGGTTAGGTTCGTTAAAGACTAGCGATGACGAAGACTGGTCCACCTATCCTTTTATCTTCGACACAAACGCTCAACCATATAATACACATCCACATAGCACTAAATAACGTAACCGGTTCCAGTGCCGGGCCCCAAGGACTAAATCACTAAATAACAACCAAAAAATAGAGACTCCCACTAGCCCCGAACCAGAGCCATCGTCAACACAGACCAACTATCCCATCTATTCCATCTATCCGAGTATTAAGGGTTTGAAAACTGTGGAACGCGTATCCCAGTTTGTGTTCAGAGGTTCTTCTGGTTCATGTGTACTAAGGTTAGTGTATATCTGCTCTAGCTAGAGAATATGTTTCAAGATTGCTCTAGTCATTACAGCAAATCTGGAACATATGCCCAAGAAATAGCCTGGAAAATACACACACACACACACTAGAAGACCATTGAAAAATATACACACATATACCAGGGGGGGGCCTGGTAGCCTGGTGGATAGCGCGCAGAACTCGTAATTCTGTACTCACCTAATTGTGCTTGCGGGGGTTGAGCTTTGGCTCTTTGATCCCGCCTCTCAACTGTCAATCAACTGGTGTACAGATTCCTGAGCCTACTGGGCTCTATCATATCTACATTTGAAACTGTGTATTGAGTCAGCCTTCACCACATCACTTCCTAGTGCATTCCATCACTTCCTAGTGCATTCTGTGACGCGAGTTCGATTTCCGCACCTGGCAGAAACAAATGGGCAAAGTTTCCTTCACCCTGAATGCCCCTGTTACCTAGCAGTAAATAGGTACCTGGGAGTTAGCTGTTACGGGCTGCTTCCTGGTGTGTGTGTGTGGGGGGGGGGAGGGAAAGTAGTTAGTAAAGTTGATTGACAGTTGAGAGGCGGGCCGAAAGAGCAAAGCTCAACCCCCGCAAACCGAACTAGGTGAATACACTACAGGGGGAGTGCTTCATGTGTATAACTTGCCCCCTAACTCAGGAACTCTTGAATTTATTATTTCAACAAACCATTAAAATAATCAAGATGGCGTAATGCAGACATGTCAAGCTGAGGGCCCCCCCCCCCCCGAGGGTCATATGGGCCACATTTGTGTTGTCATGCAACCCGTTCTCACACTTTCTTACAGTCAATATTGACTTATTAAATACGTGCATATGTGACATACTAATTTATTGTGAATATTTTAGTTTACCTTGAAAAGCTTCATAGAAAACACCGACCTTACCTAACCTTCTTAGTATGTTAAGATAAGCATCTTATTGCTTCGTAATTACAATTATTACTTAACCTATACCTATAATAGGTATAAGCATCTTATTGCTTCATAATTACAATTATTACTTAACCTATACCTATAATAGGTTTCGTAATTACAATTATTACTTAACCTATACCTATAATAGGTTAAGTAATAATTGTAATTACGAAGCAATAAGATGCTTATCTTAATATACTAAGAAGGTTAGGTAAGGTCGGTGTTTTCTATGAAGCTTTTCAAGGTAAACTAAAATATTCACAATAAATTAGTATGTCACATATGCACGTATTTAATAAGTCAATATTGACTATACGAAAGTGCGAGAACGGGTTGTGTCATGAGGGCCACACACCACAACTGAGGGTCCCCCGAGGGCCATATGGGCCACATATGTGTTGTCATGAGGGCCACACACCACAACTAATTGAAGTTATTTAATAAAAAAAATATTGCAAAATATTTGTATTACTTAGAAACATACAATGTGCATAGAAATGGTTTAGCGGTTCGCCACATTCATGAATGCAAAGTAATGAAGTAGTTTAACAAAAGAAAAAACAACGAAGTTTTAAACAGCAACAAAGACTTCTATGCATCAGCAACAAATACATTGTACAAAAATTACAACAGTTCAAAATGAACATTTATTTACGACTATTTAATAATTGTTAGTGTTTTGTCCAGAGGCTTGTCTCCTCTTTTAATGACAATTTTTGCTGTGTCTGGCTGAAATGTCTGTGCACTTGCCACTTTGATCAACAGTGACAAGCGTTGATCTGTGAGCCTTGTTCTCTGAGAAGTTTTTGTTGATTTCACGAAGTTCACACACACAGGTAGAACCGAACATTGACATAATCCTTGTGGCAAACTTTCTGAAGCTTTTAAACTTTTTAGGAAGGTATGAAAATAAACCAGGTATCCCCGCTTCAAGATACTTTGCTCCGAGTGTTGAATCCGACTGTATTTCTAATAGTTCTATCTGCAGGCTTTCTTCTCTCCTGGCTTCTCCCACATCAAATGTGAACGGTGCTGAAAATAATTTTCATTTTTCTTGGAACACTCGCCCTTCTTCGGTCCAACCACTTGGGCTGGACGGTAGAGCGACGGTCTCGCTTCATGCAGGTCGGTGTTCAATCCTCGATCGTCCAAGTGGTTGGCCACCATTCCTTCCTCCCCGTCCCACCCTAAATCCTTATCCTGATCCCTTCTCAGTGCTATATAGTCGTAATGGCTTGGTGCTTTGCCCTGACAATTCCCTTCCCCTCCCTCGCCCTTCTCCGTTCAGTTTCCTTTTTTTCTTAGCTGGAGGAGCACTAGCCATTTTAAAGATGTGGAATATGAAACATAGAATAATAAAATTAAAAAAATTAAATCACCGGTTAACAAACTGGAACGAAATTTAGGTCAGCTTAACAGTTAAGGTCACATCTATTTTTTTTAGAAGTTTTAATTCGCTTGCTTCACCGCTGCATTCGTGTTTCTTTTGTGCCTTTGATATCTATTAAAAGGTGATAGTTTAAATTATAAAAACTGCAATTTTGGCTGTTAAATAAACAATTTACAGGCCTCAGGTGTGCTTGTGCGGGTTGCAGGTGTGTGCTTGTTCGGGCCGCAGGTGTGCTTACAAAGTGCCGCATGCTGCCCGCGTGCCGCAGGTTTGACATACCTGTCGTAATGCACACTAAACATTAGTATTCAGCATTCGTTTCCACTTAACGCGCGATGGTGCCAGCACAACACACACATTTGATCTTGCGACAGCCCGTTCTTCTGATACAGTCCACACAACACTCAAAATACGGTGTACTAGAACGCGCGATCCCAAGTCCACCCACACGGCTGCTGTTGCAGGTTTGGGGGAGGTTGTTAGTCGTTTCTCTGTGATTAGTTTAAACCATATAAACGTGTTTTTATTAGTTTTATGTGCACAAATGCCCCTGTTCACCTAGCAGTAAATAGGTACCTGGGAGTTAGACAGCTGCTACGGGCTGCTTCCTGGGGGTGTGTGACAAAAAGGAGGCTTGGTCGAGGACCGGGCCGTGGGGACGCTAAGCCCCGAAATCATCTCAAGATAACCTCTCAAGATAAGTTTGATAGGGATTTATATACGTGGTTTAAAACATTAGTTGAATGTACACAGTATAATATTAATTAGTAAACATTTTTCTGAAGATTAGTTGAAGGTACACACGTCTTACATTAATTAATGAACGTGTTTTAAAGATTGGTTGAACATTAATTACCATTAATCATTAAATTTTAAGAACATTAAGACCGTTAAAAATATTAAGAACATTAAAACATTCAGTTTTAATTTGATTAATAAACGTGTTTCATAAGAATAGTTGAACGTACACAGGATTGGTAGCGATTTAATTCAGAATTCGAGAAACGTTACTTGTGTATGAACACTGATGTCAGTGTTTATGATAATCTATAACTGATTAAGCGCGTTACTCGTAATGATACAGTGTGTCTATACACTCGGCATACACCATAAATGGTTGTGTGTGTATAATTGTAACATACATGTGCTCAGTATTAACTGTAAGTCGCTGTAAAGGACTACTTTGAGGCACTCAACAGAACCAGTTAACTGACGCAGCGGTCGTGCAAAGGTGACTGATGAGGTTGACTGAGGTAACTGACAGTTTCAAGGTAGAAATAGTCAGTAGAATAGTCAGTTCGTGATAAAATCCGGTTGGCTTGTTCAGGGCTCTCAATCGGTATCTGATTAAAGGGTAAACTCTAGTGTAGACTCTGTAGTGTACTAGAGTAACTAGTCGATGGTTTACTGTTGACCTTCAACCTCTCTTCTTACTGAGCACACTACATTTTTTACACTATTGACCCCGGGGTAAAAATTGCGGTGGTTTAGGGAAATGAAAACCATCGCAATGTTCACGTTTTCCTGGGCCAGATGATTATTGGCTCTCGTTGGGTTGGTTATCTTGAGTTTATCTTGAGGTGATTTTGGGGCTTAGCGTCCCCGCGGCCCGGTCTTCGACCAGGCCTCCTTTTTGTTACACCCTCCTACTCCAGAAAGCAGCCCTTAACAGCTGTCTAGCTCCCAGGTTCCTATTTACTGCTAGGTAAACATCAGGGAGAAAGAAACTCTGCCGATTTGCTTCCGCCTACGCCGGGATCGAACCCGGAACCTCAGGACTACGAATCCCGAGCGCTGTCCACTCAGCGGTCAGGCCCCCCTGATGGCTGAGTCAGAGTTGCCAACCCTGACGCTTCTGATTAAGCAAAATAACCTACTTATCTTTTTTTTTACGGAAGGATATGCGCAATTCAGGAGAGGGGTTCAAAAAGGGCTTGTGGAATAGTCGTACCTAATAGCCAGAACGCACTACTTGGCCTAGTATGCACGACCCGACTTCCTTAATAAGCAGAGTAATTTTCGGTATTTTCAATAAATTGGAATTACTGACTTAGTTATGTTAGTTTAGATTAGGTTAGGATAGGTTAAGTTAGGTAGGTTAGGTTCGGTAATATTTCTTTGTTAGTTTTAACGCAAATTAAAAAGTAAATAAAATCATATATAATGGAAATCTTTAATATTTCATACATTTTATTTTTTTTTAGAAAAATATACAGCTTCAGAAAAACTCGAATTATTAGGCAAATTGGGCATTGTATAGAACGCCAGAGTAGTGCGTTCTGGCTATTATGTATATATGCATGCATCGCCCGCTGCATCTTCAGTTCCTGCCCGGCTTCGGACGAGTTCGCAGAAATCTACAGCCTCTAGGAAACAGACTTACCTTTATTTCCTCTTAATATTCTCTTTTTGTAAACAATCAGATATATAACTGTATAACCTAGAAAATTTATTTTTACTTGAGACTTGGACCATTCTCAAGTCGATATACACACTATATATATATATATATATATATATATATATATATATATATATATATATATATATATATATATATATATATATATATATATGTCGTACGTAGTAGCCAGAACGTCGTACTCGGCCTGCTATGCAAGGCCCGATTTGCCTAATAAGCCAAGTTTACCTGAATTAATATATTTT